TAATACAACATAATATACTACATTTTGAAATTGGGCAGGGCCTAATACAATATAATAGCATATATATATATATATATATATATATATATATATATTAAATGTGTGTGTGGTATTATATACATATATATATATTAGGGATGCACGATATAGGATTTTGGCCGATATTCGATATGCCGATATTTTCAAACTAATTTTGCCCGATGCCGATATTTGTATTTTTTTTAAGTGCAAAAAAAAAGCTTATTAAAGCTTCTATTAAAGTTCTCAGTCAAGAGCAGTGAGTGATTTCCTCTGTGTTTTATTAACATTAACGGGATAGTTCTCCCAAAAATTTAAATTGTCATCATTTACTCTCTTTTTACTCTTTTTACACAATTTACTCTTTCTTCTGGTAAAAATAAAAGTTATTTGGAAGAATGTGGCTAACCAAACAGTTGCTGTACTTCAGTGACTTATATAGTGTATTTAAGCACAAGAAAGAAATGAATACAGGTTTGGAACAACATTAGAGTGAGTAAATAATGACAGAATCTTTATTTCTGGGTGCAGTATCTCTTTAAGGACAAGCGGCAGCATATTATTACTGTCTCTTTAAGAACTGCACGCGACGAGTCTAATATACACGCATTTGACAAGCAGATTTTCTCTGTTTGCTTTCACTTTAGACATAACCAACTTTGTTTATGTAAACCGTGTGTGTATTTGACAGTATCAGCGCAATAAGACTCGAAAGATTAGTCTAGTATGCAGGCGCTGTGACGGCTTTAGTTCCTGTGAGCTTTGCGTGTACGCGCTCAGAAAAGCGGATGTTAGACCATCGCATCAGCACGTGAATGACATGTTTAACTAGCAAGACTTTGACGCACATGCAAATAATGAACTTTAGTGAATTGCGGTGTCCCGTGAGTGTAACTCTACCTCTGCGTTTACATGTGATGTGAATGTGCGTCGTGTTGTACAGTATGTTGAGATGAAGGTGCCAGAATTGAACTGATAGAATGCACGATACTATGATTTTTCTTCAAAAGCAGATCGTGGAGACATTTTAATCGTCCACGATCAAAAACAGCGTGAGACGCACACCCCTAGTTGGAAGTTTAAGTTGCTGGCGCTCATGCTTCGTTCGCGTCACGTGCGCATAGGAAACACGCCACCCTATCGGCAAGGCTCATCGGCAGAAATATTCATATCGGCCGATGCCGATGATGGTTATTTTAAGCTTTTATCGGCCGATACCGATGTTGTCCCGATATCATCGTGCATCCCTAATATATATATATATATATATGAGAATGACATCTTATAACAAATAAAAGAAAAACTATTACACATTTAGAATTAAATTTAGGAAGAATATATAATAAAAAATATAAAATAAAATACAATTATATAATATAATATAATATAATAATCAATTTTGAAATTGGGCAATATAATACCATATATATATATATATATATATATATATATATATATGAATGACATCTTATAACAAATGAAAAACTATCACACATTTAGAATTAGAATTAAATTTAGGAAGAGTATATAATAAAAAAATAAATTAAAAATTAAAAAAAAAATCAATAATAAAATATAATATAATTATCAATTTTAAAATTGGGCAACCCCAATACAATAAATAAATATATATCTTTAACAAAAGAAAAACTATACAACACATTTAGAAATAAATTTACGAAGAATATATAATAAAAATGTAAATGTACTTTAATAATAAACAAAGTATACTTTAAAGTAATATATTATAATCTGACACATTTAGAAATAAATTTAGAAAGAAAGAAAGAATATATAATAATAAATAAACAAATTATATTATATAATAAATAAAACATAATATAATAAATTAAAAATATAATATAATATAAAACATTTTGTATATCATTTAAATTTGGTCATTTTCTTTAAATAAATGTCTACTTTTGATATATTAGTCGAGCTACATTAACTTGACTCCCGTGTTTTAGGCTCACCCCTCTGCTGAGAAGTCCTTCTCTTTACAGATCTCCATGAGTTTGGGGGTCAACCTGTAGGCTTTCAGACACAAAGAGCCCTGGGCCGTCTTGAGAGGATCTACAGAGAAGCAGAACCAAAGACAAAACATGGATGACTTTAGTGAAGACGAGCTAAAGTGTTGAACACAGGGTGCTCATCTCAGCTTCAGAAACAATGAACATCTTTGGGAAGACCAAAAACAACCGTTTAACAACCGTATGAAAGCTAAAAGTGAAGATTTAAAGTTTGAACAGATGCAGTAGATGTTAATCTACCAGGGGAACACAACCGTCAGACTGGATTAATCCACTGCCAGAAGCCTGACATTCTGAGTCAGAAAAAGCTTCATTAATATAGAAGATGGGCAGTCGGCTCTACCCGTTATCTGTTTTCCAAAGACAGGATTTATAGAGCGGTTTCGTTCTGATATTAAATGCATTTAGACATTGTGGAAAGATGATTGCCTGTCTTTTCATACTGTCTTGAAAGGTCCTTAACAAATGCACAAGAACAGCAATCGAGGCGATCTCCAGATCTGCTCAGACACAGGTCAGATTCAGCTAGTCTTCTTCAAACCTGTTGAAATGGTGAGGAATGAATCAATATCAGGTTTGAGGATGTATTTATGTTCCACTTCTGAGCGCCATCCACAATACTTCTGCAATAACTGTGTACACAACTTAAAATGATAAAAACACAACTACTGCGCAGAAGAGCTAAAGGTAAATCTGACAGGTGCTTGCCAGAGTAAAAGAGTCTCCCAAGACTGCACTTATTTCGAATAAGTAATTACTTCACGACTGCTCAAAAGTATGTTGTATATAATATGAATGCATGTAGTGTGAATTTAATCCGGACGTACTACATTCTCCATGTTGGCATTATCATGTGACCTACCATCGCTTCACTGTCAATCACACATCCCACCATATGTGGACACTCCCTCTAATTAACTGGATGGATGGATGGATGGATGGATGGATGGATGGATGGATGGATGGATGGATGGATGGATGGATGGATGGATGGATGGATGGATGGATGGATGGATGGATGGATGGATGGATGGATGGATGGATGGATGGATGGATGGATGGATGGATGGATGGATGGATGGATGGATGGATGGATGGATGGATGGATGGATGGATGGATGGATGGATGGATGGATGGATGGATGGATGGATGGATGGATGGATGGATGGATGGATGGATGGATGGATGGATGGATGGATGGATGGATGGATGGATGGATGGATGGATGGATGGATGGATGGATGGATGGATGGATGGATGGATGGATGGATGGTTGGTTGGTTGGTTGGTTGGTTGGTTGGTTGGTTGGTTGGTTGGTTTATAGAGCACATTTACGACACAACCAAGGTTGACCAAAGTGCTTTACAAAGATTAAAAGACACACAGACCTATCATTTATAAATACAAAAACAAAAATTATAAAAATAAATTTTCAAACAGAAGGTAGCTATATAGTGTTGAAGGCCAGTGTTGGAAAATAAATGTTACCAAATAAATAAAGTGAACATTTTCACGAATGATTCACTAGTGGACTTTTGAACGACTTCCTCTAATTAACGTGTTTGATTATTTCAACTCGACCCATTACTAACATAAAATCAGGCACACAGCCATAATATTTCCTAAAAACTATTTCTAAGAATTCCTTACATATCATTTGAGATGAAATGAACAAACATAAAAAAACAAAAGCATCTTCACTAACGGCCTCTAATTAACGTGTTTGGCTCTTTCAGCGTGTTATTGCTGTATGCTTGATTATGTGTGCATAAGACGTTATCAATTTCATATTGTATAATATTAATAATAGTGCTAGGCAACAATTAATCACGATTAATCGCATCCTAAATAAAAGTTTGTGTTTACATAATATATGTGTGTGTGTGTACCGTGTATAATTATTTTGTATTTATAAATACGCACACATGCATATATGTTTATTTTTTATTTTTTCGGCTGCCTATCTTGGCCAGATTTTAATCTCTTAAGTGAGTCTTCTCTCCTGGTTAAATAAAGCAAATTCAAATTAAATGTATTTAAGAAAAATGTGTTATTTATATATGAAATATTTATATATTATATAAATTATGTATATATATATATATATATATATATATATATATATATATATATACACTCACCGGCCACTTTATTAGGTACACCTGTCCAACTGCTCGTTAACACTTAATTTCTAAGCAGCCAATCACATGGCGGCAACTCAGTGCATTTAGGCATGTAGACATGGTCAAGACAATCTCCTGCAGTTCAAACCGAGCATCAGTATGGGGAAGAAAGTTGATTTGAGTGACTTTGAACGTGGCATGATTGTTGGTGCCAGAAGGGCTGGTCTGAGTATTTCAGAAACTGCTAATCTACTGGGGTTTTCACGCACAACCATCTCTAGGTTTTACAGAGAATGGTCCGAAAAAGAAAAAACATCCAGTGAGCGGCAGTTCTGTGGGCGGAAATGCCTTGTTGATGCCAGAGGTCAGAGGAGAATGGCCAGACTGGTTCGAGCTGATAGAAGGGCAACAGTGACTGAAATAACCACTCGTTACAACCGAGGTATGCAGCAAAGCATTTGTGAAGCCACAACACGCACAACCTTGAGGCGGATGGGCTACAACAGCAGAAGACTCCACCGGGTACCACTCATCTCCACTACAAATAGGAAAAAGAGGCTACAATTTGCAAGAGCTCACCAAAATTGAACAGTTGAAGACTGGAAAAATGTTGCCTGGTCTGATGAGTCTCGATTTCTGTTGAGACATTCAGATGTTAGAGTCAGAATTTGGCGTAAACAGAATGAGAACATGGAACCATCATGCCTTGTTACCACTGTGCAGGCTGGTGGTGGTGGTGTAATGGTGTGGGGGATGTTTTCCTGGCACACTTTAGGCCCCTTAGTGCCAATTGGGCATCGTTTAAATGCCACGGCCAACCTGAGCATTGTTTCTGACCATGTCCATCCCTTTATGGCCACCATGTACCCATCCTCTGATGGCTACTTCCACCATGTCACAAAGCTCTAATCATTTCAAATTGGTTTCTTGAACATGACAATGAGTTCACTGTACTAAAATGGCCTCCACAGTCACCAGATCTCAACCCAATAGAGCATCTTTGGGATGTGGTGGAACGGGAGATTCGCATCATGGATGTGCAGCCGACAAATCTGCGGCAACTGTGTGATGCCATCATGTCAATATGGACCAAACTCCCTGAGGAATACTTCCAGCACCTTGTTGAATCTATGCCACGAAGAATTGAGGCAGTTCTGAAGGCAAAAGGGGGTCCAACCCGTTACTAGCATGGGGTACCTAATAAAGTGGCCGGTGAGTGTATATATACAGTATATACACATGCAAACATTTCTTAAATATATACATGCATATGTGTGTATTTATATATACAAAATAATTATACATAGTACACACACACATATATTATGTAAACACAAAAATTTATTTTGGATGCGATTATTTGTGATTAATTGATGCCCAGCACTAATTAATAATAATAATAATAAATGAAAATGAAATTGAATTATGAATGACTTAATTTGTGATGAAACCTTCAGTAATAAATCAGAAAGAACCCCAAAATAAAAAAACATTTCACTAGTGGACTCAACCCCACTAAATGTCCATTTGCATTTAGCTTTGGTTACACTTTATTTTAAGGTGTTATTGTTACAGTGTAATTATATATTTAAGTACTGAGTAATATTAAGCAACTACATGTACTTACTATAGGGTTAGGGTAGGATTAGGGTTTGGTTGAGGGTTAGTTGCATGTAATTATGCATAACTTACTGTTATTACTATAGTACAGGTGAAACTCGAAAAATTAGAATATCGTGCAAAATATCGTCATTTCTTTCAGTAAATCAACTTAAAAGGTGAAACTAATATATTATATAGACTCATTGCATGCAAAGTGAGATATTTCAAGTCTTTATTTGTTATAATTTTGATGATTATGTCTTACAGCTTATGAAAACTTTTCACAATATTCTAATTTTGAATTTGGGGTTTTCATAAGCTGCCATAATCATCAAAATTATAACAAATAAAGGCTTGAAATATCTCACTTTGCATGCAATGAGTCTATATAATATATTAGTTTCACCTTTTAAGTTTAATTACTGAAATAAATGAACTTTTGCACCATATTCTAATTTTTCGAGTTTCACCTGTATGTAACAAGGACACTGTAAAATAAAGTGTTGCTTTTTTTTTTTTTTTTTATCCGCCCACTTGTACCCGAGAGCCTGAAGAACATATGAAACTGCGTCCATGGAGCCGCCGGGCCTCTGAATGCTCTCATTGTTGGTGTGTGCTCTCGCTCTCGGGGCAGGGTGGGGTTTCTGGCAGCTGAGAGGTGTCTGATATATTTTTAGTGAGGAGCGCCGGCCTGAAACCACGAGGAGGAGCTGAACAAACACTCTGATAGGGATCCACATCTGGCGAAGTCTGAGGAAACTTACAGACAGCGTGGACCACGACCACGAGAGAGTTCAAGTTTTATGTTTGCGTCTCCTTTCAATCCGGGTGTAATCTGAGATCGTTTCAGTTAGGTGGGCGAGTTAAAGTTTTGTTTGTGAGAGTTTAAGGGAAACGGATCTGAACTTTTGATTACACCTTGAATAGTCGTGATTCAATTGCACGAATCGCAGCTTTCCTGGAGCTCAAACAGTAGAGCGCTGGCGCTTGCGCTTGCGACGCCAAGGTCATGGGTTCGATTCCCAGGGAAAGCAAAAACTGATCAGAATGTAAAATGTGTCCCTTGAAATGCATTGGATAAAAAGCATCTGCCAAATGCATAAATGTAAATAACAGTTAGGGTCAACAGTGTGCAATATCTTTACATGAAACTGTCAAGTTTCTGTATTGTAGTGTGTTACATTTATGTTGTTTTAATTATTGTTGAAATGTGTGGATGCACCGTAAGGTTTGCTAATTAATTTCATTGTATAATACATGCAATGACAATAAAAGGAGTTGAATTGTTCCATCGGCGTCTGTGCCGGTGGATCCGGGTGTCCGGGTCCCGACTCCACTCCTGGAGACACACATCAGCTCTGCGATAGCAGGCTAAATAAACAGGGGGAGGAAACCCTGTCTAGACGAGGCTGATACACACACCAGCCTCTGTTTGCACAAGAGGAACGCAGTCCACAGCCAACAGACGGAGAGAGAGAGGGAGAGAGAGAGAGAGAGAGAGAGAGAGAGAGAGAGAGAGGGAGAGAGGGAGAGAGAGAGAGAGTAGGAAAGAAGTGTGTGTTTGGGTGAGGGGTGCTGAAATATGCTCTCTGTGTGTGTGTGTGTGTGTGTGTGTGTGTGTGTGTGTGTGTGTAACGATAGATAGAACGATAGATGGGTGATGGATAGACAATAGATGGATAGAACAATAGATGGATGGATAGAACAATAGATGATGGATAGAATGATAGATGATGGATAGAATGATGGATGGAATATATGGATGGATAGAACGATGGATGGATGGATAGAACAATAGATGATGGATGGAATTATAGATGATGGATTGAATGATGGATGGATAGACAATAGATGATGGATAGAATGATAGATGATGGATAGAATGACAGATGGATAGACAATAGATGATGGATTGAATGATAGATGATGGATAGAATGATAGATGGATAGAATGATAGATGGAATATATGGATGGATAGCACGATGGATGAATGGACAGAACAATAGATGATAGATGGAATGATAGATGATGGATAGAATGATAGATGATGGATAGAATGATAGATGGATAGAATGATAGATGATGGATAGACAATAGATGATGGATAGAATGATAGATGGAATATATGGATGGATAGAACGATGGATGAATGGACAGAACAATAGATGATGGATGGAATGATAGATGATGGATAGAATGATAGATGATGGATAGAACAATAGATGATGGACAGAACAATAGATGATGGATAGAATGATAGATGATGGATAGAATGATAGATGATGGATAGAACAATAGATGATGGACAGAACAATAGATGATGGATAGAATGATAGATGATGGATAGAACTATAGATGATGGATAGAACAATAGATGACGGATAGAATGATAGATGATGGATAGAATGATAGATGATGGATAGAACAATAGATGATGGATAGAATGATAGATGATGGATAGAATGATAGATGGATGATACAACGATGGATAGAATGATAGATAGAACGATGGATGGATGGATAAAACGCTAGATAGATAGATGGATGGATGGATGGTCCAAATTGACTATAAATGGTTAGAACATCTCCAGCATTTTGAGAAAAATTTTTGACAAAAAAAAACAGAACAAAAAACAGTAAAACAGCAATATTGTGAAACATCTTTCAGCATCATTAATCCATTCTAATATGATGATTTGCAGCTCAAGAAACATTTATGATTATTATCAGTGTTAAAAACAGCTTTGCTGCTTCATATTTTGTGGACCATTTATTTGAAATATAATTTTTTTGCAAGAAAATAAAATTCTTTACTGTCACTTTTGATCAATGTAATGTGTGCCCTTGATAACTTCCGATCTGGTTGTGTGTTGTGAGCACATGCTGCCAGTGGAAGGCCGTACCGTAGATGAGCACGACGGACTCCTCGATGGCGTGCTGGTAACTGAACTGAGAGTCCAGAAGAGCCCGGCTCACAAAAGACCCGTAGAAGGTGGACTGGTACCAACCCACGTGAAGATGATCGATGTTCACATGACGCAAACTCCTCATCATCTCCATCTGATACTGAACTACAAGAGAAGAGACAGAACACGGAGGCACACGGGTGAGAGAAGGCTTGCTTATTATTGTGGATCTCTGAGCTGCTATAATTAATAAAGTAAACGTAACTCAGAAATTGGGCTCTATATGAGTTCAGTGATTCAGGTCAAATGATTGTGAATGTTAAAACATAACCAACACCATCAGATCACGTTTTCTATTTGTTCATATGACTGTTATAACTCAGGTACAGCAGCCAAACAAAATCTAAAGTTAATGATTTAAGGGTAAAAAGCCCAACTAAACCAAACACTAATCATCATAATGGCGACTTGTAATTACATTTTTCTCCTTCAGTGATACTGCTTGTTAACATCAGGTGTCTTCAATGTTGGCAATAAAAAATAAAGACTTCTTAATTCATCTTTGACGTCTGTCTGTTATTCAGATATTTTTGTTTAAAAAAAATTGTTTGTAAATTGTACTCATTTTAAATGGTTAACTTTTGATTAATTATTACTCAATTCTAATTTGTTCAATTTAATTAACAATATTGCTTGTAATCTGTTGCCACAATTTTATTGAGTAGATATAGCGTATTCATTTTTACAGTGTAGAAGAAGAACATGCAAACCCTGAAAGGGAGACTCTCTTCCAGATTATGATATTTTGCCCAATATGCAATTGCTGTGACTATGAAAATCATTATGCAAAAACAAATACTAGAACATTAAAATAAAGTAAGAATACTTAATTATGAATACACCACTAAAAAAATTATAAAGCAAAGACAATGTTTTTGGTTATTAAAGTGCCAAACATAATAATATTATTCTTAATTTATATCTTTGTTTCCAGGTAAAACATGCTTAAAACAAGAAATCTACTAAAAACAAGATAATAATAATAATAATAATAAACAATAATTAAAATGTATTATATATATATATATTTGTAATTAATCATTATTTAAAATGATATATGTATCATTATTAAATTACTATAATAACTACTGTTAATGACATAATTAATATTGTCATTAAGCATGCTTAAAGACAAAAAACTAAATTACAATAAAAAAATATATTCTATATAAGTATAATGTCAGAAATTAATTTCAGAAATGAAATAAATTTAGTGAATTTTAGCTTCGGTGACAGACGATAAATGGTAAATGTTTGCTTTTGCCGTATGAAAAAAAACTCTGTCAATATCCTCTTAAACTATTTAAAAAAACATCCATATTCACAATTTAGCACATTGATATTTGGATGTCTTCATATTCAGAAGGATTGTAGGATAAAGTTAGGATAACTAAGCACAACCAAAGGTAATCTTATTTAAATCCACAAATGATTAAATATCAGTCTGCTCAAGTTCTGTGCTTCAGAAACATGCAAAAAAACCGCATATTTTTCTGTTCTAGCAAATGCATGATGAGCTTATGAGCAAAAGAATGATTGATAATAAACTTTGTACAATTTCTCCCAAACAAAAGTGTAAAGTCATGCATGCACCGTATACAACATATGTGTGTAAAAGACCATGAAGATGCACAGGTCAATGTTAGTAAAAGGAAGTTATTGACAAGCTGATATACAGGTTTGACTATAGAAACACTCTCGCAAAGGGCATGTTGTAGAGAAGACGAGATACAAATGTTGATAAGTACAACATAAACGTGCATTTGTGCATTTATGGAGCGCTGGGATTCCCGTCAACCCTGGAAACTTCCAGCCAAAGACTACAGATAGCGATAAATGTATGAACACAGACACATTCACTCCTCGGCTTAGCTGGACAACAGTTTCCATCTCGTGTGCCAAGCCTGAGTCCTGATGTCCTGAAAACACTCCCTCTGACAATCCAAAGGCCATTCGGTTTTATCCCGAATGCAAGAGGGAGATAGCAGGATTATTAACAGAGGAAACACGTCGAGGACGAGCACAACAAGGGTCTTCATTTTATTAAAAGAGCCCGAGAGTCTCGTAAGGTACATTAAATCTTCTCTCGTGAGAAAACATCTGCGATGCGAAGACTAGCCGTAGGATGGAAGGCATCCGTAACTCAAAAAATTAAAGTAATCAAATGGTTGATCCTTTGGGATAGCACATCTCTGAGAGGAAATGTGTGTTAGAAGAGGGTTTGAGGGACCAAAACAAACGACTGGATACTTCATAAGCATTCCAGTGCACGGCCAAGCCAGATTCTGCAAGGACAAATGAGTTGCATGAGAATAAAAAAAAGATGTAAAAAGAAAAGGGAAAAAAAGGAAACAAACCCAAACCCCCTAAAACACTTGAAACAACAACACAAAAAACAAGATAATGAGAGTCTAGCTGATGGCATCCTGTAATTAAATGGATTTTCATATGGAAAAAAACAACACTAAAAAAATATCAAAACAAGGCCAAACCCACCAAATTTTTTGCACGATCCGAGACCTCCTTAACTTTTTGACTTCTTCTGTGGACACTTCAAATGTTGTGGTTTAGAAACAGAAAAACAAGCCTAAAGCGGCAGATCTGAGCGGCGATGTAGACGCCTCCGTCTCTAAGCGCTAACGTTAAAATAAGGCCTACCAAAAACAGAAAAGATTAAACACGCTGCAAATTAAACGGCACAACATCAACGTCACCCTCCTTCACACAAAGGTCAAAACTGTATTTTGGATTGTGTGAATGTAATGGCTTTTGCTCATACTTGAATCGTGCGGCTTGTTGTGGAGAAATGTGCTATTTTCCAAGCAACAAAACGTACAATTTTCACCTAGAAAACTCTAAAACCGAAAAAAAGGACAAGAATATAATAGTCTCGACTTAAGGGTGGGCAAACAATCACTCAACACAGTCAAAACATGTTAGCAATCTAACAGAAATGCCCTATTATAGTGATTTACTTCTGAAAAATTACATTTTTAGTCATGCATTTTGCATCCAAATTAACCAAAAGGAAACCCAATGTACTTTTCAATCCTTCTTTCTTTCACAGGAACAGTCCGACGTGTTTTATATTCCTCCTATATCATCTACAACTGTGGTCATTTAAAAGTAACCATAACACGACCTCAAACGAAATTACATGACTAATGACTGAACGAAAGTAATAAAGAAAGAGAACAGACCCAGCAGGAGTCAGCTGACAGCTCACCATGTGACTCTTTCTAATGTCTCGAAGGCGTATATATATATTTAAAACAGGCCTGCTAATCAGCTCATTCTGTCCCTTGCATGAGCTCACATAGGCCCCGTCCCAAATGGCACCCCAGTTTACACTTTGTTTGAAGCATGGCCTGCTGGGTAATCGTCCAGTGTAAAAGGGCACGTCGTGCCTTTCGTGAGCACCTTAAAATGTCAAACGGGACACCCCATGGCCACAGATACACATCAAGAGCAGCATTTGGGACGGGGACCAGAGGCATTCTGGGATAGACGTGAATGCAGAAAGGACTTTTATCTTAGAAACCAATGAAAAGCATCATTATGCCAAAATCTGTAGATCAAGGAACTATTGTTTCCTCGATAAAATCTAAGTTTTGATAATTAGTGATGAACAAATTAATTAAGATTATAAAATACTTATTGGCTGAATAAAATGTTGAAAATGTGCTAAATGAATCAGTTTTTTCCTCAATGAAGTTACATATTTTCAAAGATAATTAGTGATAAATCTTCAATGATTATAAACAAATGAATTACGATTAGTAAAATATTTATTGGCTGAATAAAATGTGCAAAATGAACCTGTTTTTCCCTTTCTTTTCTTTTTTTAGTAGAACATTTTTTGATTTATAATTAGTTATGAGCAAATGCATAATGATTATTAATAAAACATTTATTGGCTGAATACAATGTTCAAAATGAATCTGTTTTTTTCTCAATAAAACAGAACATTTTGAATAATAATTAGCAATAAATATCAATGATTGTTAGCAAATGAATAATGACACTTATCAGCTGAATAATATGTGCAAAATGAACCTGTTTTTTTAAACGGAACATTCTGAATGATAATTGGTGATAAATAGCTAAGGATTATTAGCAAATGAGTAATGATTATTAATAAAACATTTATAGGCTAAATGACATGTTCAAAATGAACCTGGCCACCAGATGCTCTTTTTCCCACAGATGAGATAGATAGATAGATAGATAGATAGATAGATAGATAGATAGATAGATAGATAGATAGATAGATAGATAGATAGATAGATAGATAGATAGATAGATAGATAGATAGATAGATAGATAGATATTAGACAGACAGATAGATAGACAGATAGATAGATAGATAGACAGATAGACAGATATAAGACAGATATTAGACAGATATTAGACAGACAGACAGACAGACAGACAGACAGACAGACAGATAGACAGATAGATAGATAGATAGATAGATAGATAGATAGATAGATAGATAGATAGATAGATAGATAGATAGACAGACAGACAGACAGACAGACAGACAGACAGACAGACAGACAGACAGACAGATAGATAGATAGATAGATAGATATTAGACAGACAGACAGACAGACAGACAGATAGATAGATAGATAGATAGATAGATAGATAGATAGATAGATAGATAGATAGATAGATAGATAGATAGATAGATAGATAGACAGACAGACAGACAGACAGACAGACAGACAGACAGACAGACAGACAGACAGACAGACAGACAGACAGACAGACAGACAGACAGACAGACAGACAGACAGACAGACAGACAGATAGATAGATAGATAGATAGATAGATAGATAGATAGATAGATAGAAGACAGACAGACAGACAGACAGACAGACAGACAGACAGACAGACAGACAGACAGACAGACAGACAGACAGACAGACAGACAGACAGACAGATAGATAGATAGATAGATAGATAGATAGATAGATATTAGATAGATAGACAGACAGACAGACAGACAGACAGACAGATAGATAGACAGATAGATAGATAGATAGATAGATAGATAGATAGATAGATAGATAGATAGATAGATAGATAGATAGATAGA